CTACAATATCCACAAAACATTAGATACAAATAACTCAATTCTACTGGAATAGATAAGCTAAAACATAAGCTAAAACAAATTTACAATCGACAGCACATTGGTTGGACATAAACATTATAAAAGAAATGGATACAAGTATTATTAGATAGTTCTTAGTTAATGCAACTATTAGACATGTAAGAGTAATAGTCCTATGACTGAATAACCCAACTGTTTATAGTTTTTTCATCAGATCAAAACCATCTTACTGAGTCTAGTATACGCTACAATAGGAGTATTTTTCTTTACTGCATGGTATATGACTTCGTTGTTACCATTATTTTAAGATATTTTTTTATTATAACTCCGCCTGTAGCTCCTCCAGAGGCTACTGCCGGTCCTAAGCGCGGGTAAAGGAGGAGGGTTGGGCATGGGGTTAGCGACCCCATCTCGTAGAAAACCAACTCGCTAAAAAAACGCTAACCAGAAAAAATCATTCAAACCATTTAAACTCTGCCCTCCGAGTTGAAGGAATAATTATCACGTCTCATGATGAAAACCGAGTTCATTCGGAAGTCACCAGACCGATGCACCTTCTTACAACCAGAGCGACAATTTTTTTAGGTACATGGAACGTCCGGACAATGTGGGAGACCAGAAGAGTCTTCCAAATTGCTGCAGAAATGAGGAATTACAAGCTGGAGGTGCTTGGAATCAGTGAAACACATTGGACGCAGGTTGGACAACAACGACTGTCTTCAGGAGAACTTCTGTTATACTCCGGTCATGAAGAAGAAAATGACCCACATACACAAGGATTGGCATTGATGCTGTCCAGAAAAGCACAAAATGCACTTATAGGATGGGAATCTCATGGACCAAGGATCATCAAAGCCTCCTTCAAAACAAAGAGAGAGGGCATTACAATTAACGTCATCCAATGCTATGCGCCTACCAACGACTACGATGAAGACGTTAAAGACCAATTCTACGATAGGCTGCATTCGATCGTCGAGAAGTGCAGATCCAGAAAGAACGGAATCGATATTTGATTCTAGTTTAAAAATCTGAGGTAGTGTACACTTAAGACCTTATCAGGGATTTTATGTACAAACTTCAAACCATGATATGAGTATTTTTCCAACTTCAAATACTAATCAGTTATAAATTATTGTAAAAATCTCAGTTATACAGAAGGTCTGTCACAACTCGAATAACTTGTTGATAACACCTCTGTCGAACTGATTGACTTCTATTCGATTTCATAGACAGCATCAGTTCTTTTTAAGATTCTAGGTATATCTTGCTGACGGGCTTCAGCCAGGAGGAACTTTAAGTCAAGGCTTTCTTTTTAACTATCTTTGTACACCTAATAAATTCAGAAATCTTGTGAAGAATACAATCTTTGAGCTTAAAAGAAAAATACGTCGAACATTTATGATCAGTCAATTGTATATGACAGTTCATAAGTGACTTATGTATTAACCAAACTTGTATTCAGAATGGATTCTTAGATTGTTCAGTATGATATTTAACTATTATATTCAATCAATAGACTGACAGAACAAACCAATCAATAATTAAAGTGTCCTCACTTCCAATAAACTCTAGCTATGGAGTTCCTATTGAAATCATTAAATTTGATGAAATCGTCTAATATCAAATGCGACTAACTATTGGACCATTAAACCTTGTAGTTACACTAAAAACTTATTACAAAAACTTTCATTACCACTATAAATAATTTCTTTGTGGTCTTATTTTACAAATGTAACCATAAGAGATATAGGTCTAAAAATAGAAGTATTAGTGACGTATATGACAATTAAATATTCTATATAGTTGAGATCATGAGTCAATTCAAGCTAGACCACCATGGAAAACCTGGAAGCACTGAACGGACGTTTCGTCCTAGTATGGGACTCCTGAGCAGTGCGCATCCACAATCCCGCCTCATGAGATTCCAAACCAGGAACTATCAGCCTCGCGCGCGAGCAGTGAAGATTTGAAGACATGAAAATTTATGTGTTTACTATCGATATCATGACGAATTCAGTAACAATATTAATGAATATACCGTCAGAGGGGTGACCAAAATCATGACGCATAATACACATCAATGTGCGAAAAAGATAGCTTGTTAATAAATGTCGAATGTTTGTTTCCTGTAATGATAAACAGAGCACAATTTTTCCAATTGATCATATCACATTAACTTTAACCTAATTTCTGATTGGTTGTTACTACTTTTAGTTTGCGAAATTTCGTGTGTTTCAAGGTCATGTTTTGTCACTACATAGTCGTACTACATCATTTTTATTCGTTCTATATCAGTTTTTTATGGATTGTTGCCTTCTTGTCAGGTCTCATCGTTTAGGATTATTGTTGAAAATTTGTGTATATCAGTTGCCGTCTATTCCAGTTGTCAGTAGATTCCGTTCATATCAGAATCATCTCGAATATTTGTAATAGAAATTACCGTAGATCAAACTGAACCAAATCATAAAATACAGCACAATGCTTATTTTTAAATGACTTTACTAGTTATTGTGAGCAAAGACGGATAGTGGCTAGCAGCGAAATCCAGGATGCGCGTTTCGTCCTATTTGCGACTCCTCAGCTAGATTTGCCTGCATCTCAGAGTTGATGTTCACTCTGGAACTCGGACTCAGTACCTTTTGCATCAAACTCCATCGCCTTATCCACTTAGCTAGTGAGTGAATTTAGACTTTACTAGTTTATTGAAAGACTAATTTTACAATACGGTATTCAAATATAGCACAACAGGTCAAAACAATAAGCGTTCAAATATCTGTAGAATTAGTAGTTCTTCTTTTCCAAGACTTAAAGATTGCCAACCATGAAGTAAGTAATAATTACAATTCTGTATCCACACCAATGTTCAAGGCATATGTTGATGAGTAATTGTCAAACGTTTAATTATTACCGATTGCATTACGTACAGATGTTTGACCAGTAATTGTATATGATTCATCAACCAATCTATAAGTGCTCTGGCACGAGTCTGATAGGTCCTGGGTTCAAGTCTCGCGAGGCGATATCGTGGATATGCACTGATGAGGAGGCCCACAATAGGACAAAACGGCTGTTCAGAGCTTCCAGGTTTTCCATGGTGGTTTAGCTTCAATTGACTCATGAGTTCAACTATGAGAAAATACTGAAATCTCTACAAAACCCCTTCCAATCTGTATTCATAATCCTAATAAGCATAAATTTATTAGAAGTCTATAGAGTTTAAAGATAAGGCTTATGACTACAGTGGTAGGTTGCATAATTTTTGATATGCAAGAAAAAATGTATTCGTTAATATCTGATGTATATCCTAACAATAAGCACCAGAATTTACGAAACGAATATTTATATAGTTGATTGACAGTGAACTTCTCAAAATAAAAATGCACTTTCATTCACACGACAGAATCTCTTTCATATTACTACGAAACCAAAGCTGTCTACGAAATAAAGTTCCGGTGAACATAAACCAAGAACTGAAGTCATCTATTTTGATATTCAAAACTCTATTTTTACTATGTGAAATATTTCAGGAAACTATCAAAATCTCATAAAATGGAGAACAGTTGAAGCTTATCACTAAGATTTTTAATCGGACGTAAATAAACAGTCAATCAGTCAGCTACAATGTAGGACCAGGCACGTGTATGCATCGGTCCAAGTTGCCATACCTCGTTAGCACAACAAGAGGAACACCGGATTCATAGTAGTTAATCTAGTGTTGGTAGTAGTATATAAATTATAGGTTGTATATAAGGATATAGTGCAGGAAATAAGACAGATTTAAAGCAATTTTAATCTTAAGGTTTAAGGGAAGATAAAGAGTGTATACACCTACTACATTGTGATCGATTCTGAGTCATGTCACACAGTCTGCAACAATTGGTTACGATAGTCATGCGGACCCCAACCACGTAGTCTGCATCTACCAACATGGCTCAGACTAGAAGTGAGTGACTTCAAACACTGATGCCATGTTTTGGTTTGGCTGCCCCTAACTTTCTTCCAACCATCGCCAATACTAGTCAACATAGCGCGTCGTGGTAATCGGTGTTCAGGCATACGTAATACGTGACCCAACCATCTTAGTCGATGAAGATTCATCACCTCATCAACTGATTTACCATGATTCCCTAATGACCGGTGTCTAACCTCACCATTACTTACTCATTGATCCCAGCAGATGCGAGCAATATTTCTAAGGCGTCTGTGGTCAAATACTAGTAACCTACGAGTATCTTCTACTCTAAATAGCCATGTTTCACAACCATAAATTAGAACAGAGCGAACTGCTGCGCAGTATACTCGTCCCTTAATTGATAGACGGATATCTCGTCCTCGCATTGGTGGTGACGTAAGTTGGCAAAAGCCAAACGAGCTTTTTGAATCCGTGCTGAGATTTCGTTAGACACCAACCCATTAGGGCTGATCAGACTTCCAAGATAAGTGAAGTTGTCACCGGCACTTTACTCCTATACATTACGTTGACTAATAATTAACTATATATAAGAAGGGGTTTGGTGGAGATTTTACTAATTTTATAGAGTTGAGATCATGAATCAGTTCAAGCTAGACCACCATGGAAAACCTGAAAGCACCGGACGGCCGTTTCGGTATGTTACGGGACTCCTCAGCAGTGCGCTTCAACCAGGTCTGTTGGAGATAGTAACTCACTGATGACATTGGTGAATGGTTGCTCAAACTTTGTAGATTGGTTGAAGTTAGACAATAACATCAATGGATGCCGGCTCAGCGGTCTATCGGTTAAGTGCTCTGACGCGAGACTGGTAGGTCCTGGGTTTGAATCTCGCTAGACGGGATCGTGAATGGGCACTGTTGAGTAGCCCCATAATAGGACGAGACGGCCGTCCAGTGCTTCCAGGTTTTCGATGGTGGTCTAGCTTCAATTGACTCATGATCTCAACTCTATGAAATTAACTATATACACTGAAAACTTATTAAATCATCTAAAAGAAAAAACAACTTACCTTCTTTCTGTTGTATAAATAAAATATCTTAAAACTATTGGTATTATTGAATTAGATTCACATTGAATTGGTGCCCAAAATGATGAAAATTTTCCATATTTCAAATCATTAAAATGAATTGTATCATTATGATTATGAAATGATTGTACATTGAATAAAAATTGATTACAAATTGAATTACGATCAAAGGAAGCAGCATTAATAGTTCTACCAGCAGTACTACTACTAGTACTACTACCGGTACTACTAGTAGTACTACTAGTAGTAGTATAATTATTTACATATGCCATTAATACACCATTTAAACAATAACCAATACCAATAAGATTAGATTTTGTATAATTGGATTGCAGATTATTGAATAAATCTGTATTATAAATATGAATAGGTTGACTTAATTGTAATAAATTCATTAAATAAACATCGAATTGTTTTGTAGATTCATTCCTCCCTTGATAATCATCAAGCCAATAATTAAACTCTCTCATTATTTGTATAGATCTATATATATCATGCAAGAAATTTTGTGTTAACGACTTTTGTGTTATTAAATGATGAAATATTGGATAGAAGGTTTCATTTAAATCAATAATCGTCGATAACGATGTTGATGATGATGCTCCTGATGAGGCCGCTGATGACGAAACATCATTATAATAAGTAGTATTATAAGTAGTATATAATTTCTGTGAATTCATTATACATAAATTCAAATTATTATTATTATTTGATGATAAATGTATAAAATTTACAAGTTTACGTAAAAATTTTTCTTCTTTTATAAGTAAATGACCATTTGGCGTCATGGTAACTATACACCAAATCATAGAATATATAATGATAGAAATGAGATATGATTTTCTTTGTATACTACTAATACTACTCATTATACTACTCATTTTTTGTTGTTTTTTTTTTGTTTGGATGATTTCGTCCCTCCCCCCTCAAAAAAAATTTACATTGAAGAATATTTACATATATATATATATATATATATGCGGTAAAGGAGAAGTAATACTGACGAAGATTGATGATGTAATATCAGTTAGAAAGCTTCAATATTTATCCATTACAAAGTTAAATTATCCATAATTCCCTTGTTGAAATAGTTAAAAGCCATAGATACAATTCATAATACACTAGGTTACTATTCGTTTACAAAAAATAACCCTTATGCCTGAATAATATATGTTTAGTAAACATGACTTATAAAAATCTATAATGTTTGTATATTCCAACTATATATATATATGTCTATCCAATAGAGGACAGACACACAGAGGTACGTGAATGAATGAATGTTCACCTGTACCTAAAAATTTCTTTTTTTTTTTTTGTTTTTTTTTCTTGTTTATTCAAAGGGATATCTGAAAATTTTTTTGGTCTGATTTTTGGCATCGTTCTTAATGATTGGTTAAAAAGCTAAATTTCTATTTTCTAAACAATTTATGATTGGATATATATATATATATAGCCTTAGTTACATTAAGGGGAAAAATAGATTTTATTGGTGTATAATAATCAGTCAATCAATGGAACTAATCACTTGATTAAGTTCTTTTATAAGTTAAATGTCTCGTATGGATTTTAATATCAACGATGTCAGTTAGATATTCAAAAAAGAATGTTGATTTTTTTATTTTTGAAAAGCTGTAGTTAGTTGTCAAGGTTGAATTTTAGGGGGAAAAAAAACAAAACAAACTAACTTTTACAGATGAATAGTTGCTAGCAATGGAATCCAGTTTGATGCGCATCATTTCGTCCAATTTGGGACTCATCAGCTGGATGTACCTGTCGATGTTCACTCTGGGACTCGAACCCAGTACCTTTCGCTTCAAAATTTTACAGAATTTGAAGAGGACAATTTGACGGAAAGGATTCATTTTTTTTGTATATAAAAATACTCTGTTAACTGGAAATTTATAAGGAATGAAATGTAATACAAAAAAAGTAATAGAATGTTGTACTTCATAGATTACTGACTGGGAAAAATGGCATGACAGGCGGTTAAAATAAATGATAGGTATATATATATGAACTTTAGTCTAAATTAGAGCGAATAGTTTTACAGTATTTAGGCGCCGAGTTGATGTAAAACATTAAAAAGATTTTAGTTCATTTAAAGTGAGGTTCTAGTAACAACTGTTGTATCCTAGTGAAGACATAAGTACGGGTGACTCCCAGGACTTATTCATGGACGATTATTTTATATATACATTAATCGTATTATAAGCTTCATTCTGACCTATGAATTATCATTATACGATTTACTACCCCTAAATTATATTCAGCTTACTGATTACTGTCTCCCAAGTTCACAGCCACTTTTTGGCTTGATCTTGTACAAATATTATTTTCTATTTTATGGTGTGATGTGATCTGTCTGTCTGGTATATAAACCGAGTATGCTTGAAATAAAGGATACGCTTAACAAAAGCTGTAATTGGTGTTCTGGACTCAATTGGAAGGGCTAGCCTTACAAGGGACCAATAAGGACACTAGACTGCTCATACCAATTGAACGTCATTGATTTGGCACAGTGTAAAGATTAAACAATTCATATTTCCATTGGTGGATAACTCACGTGATAAAAAGCCGGACATAAGATCACAACAAATTGGCAACGGCCTTCTTTTTTAAAATCATAACATCAACCAATAGATTAAGTTGACTGTTATTTAAATATGATAGTTTTACAACTTTGCCGCATATTTAACAGTACCTAAGAAACTAGAGAAAATCCTGGTTACTGGACACAACTGTTTTCATGCATTAGGTCTCAATGTTAACTAACGAAATTAGGAACAATAGTATTTCATATAATTGGTTCGCTTCATAAGTCTAAACAAACAGCCCATCTCTTGCAACAAAACTGGTACTAGTATATACCGTATAATATTGAATAATGTAAACTAAAACCAGACATGTACCCTTCGCTTGTCAACTTCAAACGAATTTACATGATACATAGAAGTAAGAGTATTTGACCTAATATATCAGCGATTCAATTCTAGATCTGTCCAGTACTTGCCCTAGTGATCACAAGTGACTTAATATTCAATTCAGAGGTAAAACAGTGTACAAACTTGTAGGTATTATATTATTTTAAATAAAGGGATGGCAATGTATGAAGTAATCATCATTATACACAAGTATCAAAGCTTATTAGTCTACATCTAAGTACAAAAACAGGTATATTGGAAAGTTAAAACTGTCATAACGGAATGAATATTGTTGAAGTGGAATAATTTTCTGGTTAACGTTTTTTTAGCCAGTTGGTTTTCTACGGGATGGGATCGCTAACCATTGCCCAACCCTCCTCCTTTACCCGGGCTTGGGACCGGCAGTAGCCCTCGGAGGAGCTACAGGCGGAGTTGGAGAATGCTGGTCGGCGGCCTATGCTCCATTGGGAGTAACAGGAGAAAGTAAGTAGATAAGTAAGGGAACTTGTCGAACCATTTTTTGAATCAATAATATTTATATTTTTTGTTGCATAATTAATTAACACCCTACTTTCAGAGCTACTTTTGTCTTGTTTACTTACAATTGTGATTTTTCATTCTATGACAACATGTGGTCCACTATGTCAATATGTAAACCCATGCCTCCTTGGAATATTGTGATAATAATAATAGTAGTGATGGAGATAGACTGATGACTTCTTCTTAAACTCAGGGCCGAAGATAAAGAAAAACTTGCATGTAGTGGGCAAATATAAACTTAGCTTGCATCGGCTAAATGTTAACTATTCAGACCAGAAATAGAATCTGTCAGATCTAGGACGCTAAGCTACAAATGGAATAGTGGACACGGGACGTAGAAAATCATAGTTATAATTCTGATTGGTGAATTTAACACATGTACTGATCAACGATCTTAAGCCACAACAAAAACGGAGGGTAGCTCCACCTTTTAAAGAACATTTCGATAATAATCTTCGTTTCAGACAGGATATCAGTCGTAACAATTCGATTGAACACCTCCTATTGGATACGAACACGATGTGAAAATACTGTTCCATTCGGAATAAATGCTAATTATGACTCTACAATGGTTAATTTTTCATACGAGTTGCTCTACATAGTGTAGTCAGTTAGACGGATCATAATAATAAGTAGAAATATATACTAACTGATCACTGATTATTGACTCGTATGGTTTTCGCCTAGTCCTTTGAACAACACGAATTCTGCTAATGAAGCTGTAACGTTCCCACTAATCCAAACGATCTGGGACAAAATAGATGTTTGATATCATGAGATGAAAGTCATAAAGGTGTCTAAAAATCAGGTAAGTTTTGAATTTTTGCTTGAGAACTGTCACTAGTAAGAGGAACAAAACCGGTAAATTAGGTGCCTTCAAGAACAAAACTAATCAGAGTCGATTGTTTGAAAGTAGTTTAAGATCACTGTATTTAAAGATCTTCTGAAATTAAGATTACTTTCTGTGTACCCTTGCAAACAAATGGTTTTTATATTGAGGAATTTTGAAATGAAACGAAACTACTGTTTAATTTTATAGTTTACATCACTGCCAGATCTTCGTTAGACACTCAGTGGAAATCAGGAAGCACTGGTCATCTATTTTGTCACAGTATAAGACTCAGTTTACAACTGAAAAACATCTGGAACTCAAAACAATTGTCAACCAATACCAAAATCAGAATTTTCAATACGAATGTCAACACAGTTCTATTGTATGGGGCTGAAACCTGGAAAACTACGAAAGCCATCATCCAGAAGATACAGGTATTTATTAACAGTTGTCTACGCAAGATACTTCGGGTCCGTTGGCCAGACACTATCAGCAACATTCTACTGTGGGAGAGAACAAACTAGATTTAAGTGGAGGAAGAAATGAGGAAGAAGAGTTGTAAGTGGATAGAACACACATCGAGGAAGCCACCCAACTGCGTCACAAGACAAGCCCTCACATAGAATCGTGAAGGTCAAAATAGAAGAGGAAGACCAAAGAACACATTACGCCGAGAAACGCAAACATCCAGTGGAGGAAGAAATCAGGAAGAAGCGCTGGAAGTGGATTGATGCTTCCGATGTTGTTGTGATCTTTAAGATAGATAATTTAATTTTGATTTCCCCATGATCTTTCTCGATGGTATCACCACGAGTCAATTTAAGTAAAAGTGAGCTTTTTAAAGTTATTCCACAAACCCTGAATCTCTCACGTCTTATGATGTGGTTTATGAGTGATTATCTTCACAGTCTTCTGATCTCTTTAAACGTAAAAAACCAGCATTTTTGGAATGCGTTCCTGTCAAATAATAAATGTTACTTTAGGATTGGTTTGCATTAACACATAAACTAATGATAGTGAGTGCAATGACTGAGTGTACTGACTACTTCACCTACCTCGAAAGTCTAATTAACTCTGGTGAGTTGATAACTGATGATATTTTAGCTGATATTCAGTGTTCCGTTGGCCCCTGACAACTAATATCACTTGTGTAGTAGACTAGATGTCTTCCTGACAGCCAAAGAATGACAATACCACTCATAAATCTGTTGTGTTTATTCTATAAGGGTGAAATGTGGTCTATAAAAATAGGCTTTCAATAGGATATTTCTTCGAAGTACTACTTGCGTATCGTAGAACGACAGAATATGCGATAAATCGATTGATAAGGTTGTAAATTTCAGTGGTTAAATATCTTCGATAGGAAATCCTAGACTTTGATTTGAGCTATATGGCACCGGTCAGCAAGGTTTACCTGTAATTTTGAAGTAACCGGTGGTACTCAGAGAATTTTATCCCTTCCCTATTAATATTCATAAATTCGTCTCTCCTTATATTATGACATGGCGACGAGAAGTAACAGGCGTAAGTAAGTAAGTAATTATCAATGGATAAATATTAGAAGTAGAAATATCACTGATAGTATTACATTTAAAGTTTTGGTAAACATTAAATCGAATTAGTTATTAAAATAGATTGAAAGCCACACAAAT